ATTAAAAATAACTCCCTAATTTGCCTGTAGCAATCTGCAAATTAATAGTGCTTTGTTAACAATTAACACAACTAATAAAGTAAATGCCACATTATTCCATCTGAAGTGACAATTACTTTGCACAGTGTTTAACCTACAACTTTGAAAAGAGTCTCATGCCAAAATCCTTATGCTTTTATTTTTTGATCCACCATATATTTTATACACAGACCCAATGACAGATGAAAAGAAAGATCGCTCGTGTTTTCATTCTCCCTTCCACTCTTCCATTTTTCTAGTTTTAATTTCTTTATTAGTATGGTGTATTTCAACTCCTTTAAACGTACCCAGTTATTAAATTTGATGTGTACACATCAGGTATATACAATAAGTACAAATATATATATGATATTTTTTAACTAAAAATCATTCTAGGGCTTCCCTGGTGGCGCAGTGGTTGAGAGTCCGCCTGCCGATGCAGGGGACGCGGGTTCGTGCCCCGGTCCGGGGAAACCCCACATGCCGCGGAGAGGCTGGGCCCGTGAGCCATGGCCGCTGAGCCTGCGCGTCCGGAGCCTGTGCTCCGCAACGGGAGAGGCCACAACAGTGAGAGGCCCGCGTACCGCAACAACAACAACAACAAAATCATTCTATACATATTTGTCTATGATTTGCTTTTTAAAAATATGTAACAGTCATCTCAAGGTAAGCAAATGTTTATATTTTCCAGTTTCTGCATGCATACATGTCTATATATAATTTGCATGAATTGGAGTGTATGATACATGCTAGAAAGGGTTTTCTTAATGTAATTTTTTAACTGTTTTCATTCCGTCTTCCTCCTCTTCCTCCTCTGTCTCCTCCTCCTTAGCTTCTCCACCTTAATTTTCTGTAATTGAACTCCTCCCTCAAGTTAACATCAAGTTTGGAATCAAAGTGCTTAAATTAGAATCTTAGGTCCACCAAATATATAGGTAGCCTATAGCAAGACACCATTTCCTTACTTGTAAAATGAGAATAGTAGTTTAAACATTTTAAGGTTATTGTATTGAGAGTATTCATATACAAAAGGTGCTTAATACACTATCTGGTAAAAAGAAAATTTAAGCAACATAAGCTGATATTAACTGTCCCCTGCTCACCTTTCCAGATTTTCTTTTTACATTTTTCATCTGGATCACAGTATTTCAGCCACAGGAGGTTTCTCTCTGTACCTTAAACAGGCGAAGTTTTTTTTTGAGCCTTAGCACTGGCTGTCTCACTCTTTGGAATTTTATCATCAATTTATTTATGCACCTTTTCTTCCCCCCTCATCTTGCCTGCTAAAATATAAACTCTAAGAAAGTGGGAGTCTGGATTTTCTTTTTCTACACTGCATCTCTATTCTCTAATATCATGTATGAGACAGAGTCTCTTGTTTAACATGTACTTGTTAAATGAATGAAAGATTTCATTTTATATTTAGCCTCAGAGTGACCTATACAGATAGGTATTATTTCCTCAATTTTGAAAATAATGAAAGTGAGGCTAAATTCTTTCTTGAATGTTATAGTAAGCTGTCGAATTGGGTTTGAATCCAATTTTCCTTCCTCTATTTCAAGTATTCTTTCCACTGTTTCTCAAATGCTATTTATTTTTTTTATTATGTACACATTCAGACTTTTCAATGCGATTGTAAGTCTCTTCAAATCATGCATTCTACTGTCTGTAGTTTATATAATAATGCTTAGCTCACAGTAAGTACACAATAAGCATTTTTTGTTAGTAATGATTCTCCTTCATGGGTTTATGCTTATGCCTCCTGTATGATATACATAAAAATGACTTTTTCTAAGCTTACGATAAAATATTGTTTGTGTAGGTGCTCGTAGTTAAAATTAATTTCTCAACAGGTATGCAGAGAATGTCGATGGCACTCTAGGGGACGTCGATGATTTCTGAATCTCAATCTGCATAGCAGATCAGGCAAGGAAATGAAAGTCAGAAGACAATGGGAAGAGGACATATTAATGCTACAGCAATTCAGAGGCAGGAGACAGCTGTGGTTTGCCAAGTAAGGGAAACTAGGGCAGGTGGTGTGCTGGGCCTATGATGACCAAGGGAATGTAAGTGGGATATTTTAGCTAGAGATAGACACGGATAGAAACAGAGTAGAGAGAATTTTTGAAAAATCTAAAAAGCTAGTGCTTGTAATAAGCTTGACTCAGATTGCTGTACTGAGGTGAAACTAAACCAAGAGATCTCTAAATTTTTTTTTCTCTCAAGACACACACGAATGTTCCTAGCTATATATAGCATACACTCTTAAATAATCAGGCTGACAAAACTATGGTTTGTGGAATACATGACACTGAAAGTTAGCCCCTTCTTATATTAAGGTTAGAGAGAAATGAAGGAGGACCATGTAAAATGTGAGACAACAAAAGGCAAAACATTTTTCAATCATGTGTTTTAATACTTAAAAATCTGGGATATCTGTCCCTTTCTCTCCATTCCTACTGCAATGGACGTAGTCCAAATCCTCATCATTTATCTCCTGGATCAAAACAGCATCCTGGGCTTCCCTGGTGGCGCAGTGGTTGACAGTCTGCCTGCCGATGCAGGGGACATGGGTTCATGCCCCGGTCTGGGAAGATCCCACATGCCTTGGAGCGACTGGGCCCGTGAGCCATGGCCGCTGAGCCTGTGCGTCTGGAGCCTGTGCTCCGCAACGGGAGAGGCCACGACAGTGAGAGGCCCGCGTACCGCAAAACAAACAAACAAACAAAAACCCCAGCATCCCCCTGACTCCAGAGTCCAATCCAGTCTCCGGAATGATCCTCTTAAGTGCAAGCTGACCATGGCACTACACTGCTAAGTCACACTGCAGGCTCCTGGTGAGAGAAGTCAGTTAGCTCTCATCACATTTATCTTTGGCCACTCACATATTCATAGTTGTCCTCCAACTTTCAAATACACAGTGTCACTCAGGAAGCTTGTAAAATGTACATCTTTGGGTCTCAAAGATTTGATTTCTATAGTTCTGGGATGGGACCTAGCGATTTAATTTGTAACACATGCCTCAGGAAGTAAGATCAAATACCATATAGCATGCAGAACTGCCACGTTCCTTAAACACCATGCTATTTCATGACTATTTGCCTAGAATATCTTCCCTTCCCACTCAATCATTTTGTCTTGGGAAAATGCTATAAATTCTTCACAATCCTGCGCAGGAGTTGCTAAGGTATTACCCTCCTCTCCAAGTTTTCCTATACTCTTCCTTCCCTCTGCCAACTAAGAATTGGCACTTGCTATCTGCCTCTACAAGGATTAAGTCAGTAGCCACTGTAGTTGCTGACCTTCAGCATATCCTGAAAGGAGTTCAGGGTGGAGATCAGGAATGAGGCACTCTGTGCTCTGGAAAAAGCTGGCAGAACAGGCCTCCAGATAGTTAGATATTTTCAGGAGAAGATTTTATGAGCCCAAATTCTTGCATCTCCCCTTATTTAGAAAAGCACTAAAATCATTCATGGAGACATCTGCTCCTCGTGACCAGCAGCAACTTTCATGAGACCAGCAGTAACCTTCTGCAAAAATGTGTGTTTGATTTCATGTATTCCCCCTTCACCAAAATCACATATAATACTGATTCCTCAGAGCTATCTGAGATGCTGTCTCCCAGGCTATAGTCCTCATTTTGCCTCAAATATAGCTTAACTCACCACTCTTATGTTGTGCATTTTTATTTTAGTCAACTCCTCTACCAGATGGTTGGTCAGTCTTTCCTCTGTATTAATTGTCTTGCAGTTATGTATCAATACTTTCATACTGTCTCTTTATTGTTATCTTCACAACTAAAGTATAAACTCTTGAAGTGTTGATATAATGTCGTAATCACTTTTTGTATTCCCAGTGGTTGACACAGTGCTTGGCACATGTTAAGTACATAATAAATGATTACTGAACCTCAGCATCTCTTATGCTGATCCCAAGAGTAAAGTGCGAGTCTTGGTTTCAAAAATTTTTTCATCCCTATCACATATATCAGTTTCTGGGTAGGGTTCTCTTAACCTAAGTCCTAAGCTGTAGAAAGGAGAGAGGGCTTGGATGGTTGGAAAGGTAGAGGTGCCATTGTCTCTCTGCACTCCATGATTTTTTTATCTAGAAAATGTAAGTCTAGATTTTCACCATCAATAAATAAATTGGGCTGGAAAAAATCACATGATAAACCGATTTATAATGTAAAATAAATTATTACCTTATACTCTGGATACTTCATTTCAAATAAGGGAGTTAACTTGGAAATTAAAAAAGAGGGAGAGGGAAGGCTGCTTGGTGAATTGCGGGATCACAGAAATGAAGATGCCTTTAAAATTTTTTTTAAAAAATCTATTTTTATGCCTTGTTATTTTTCCTAAATCTCTACCACTCCCTAGCCATCATCCCTGTGAAAATGTATTAAGGAAACCTAATTCAAAATTGAAGTCGGGAAACCATGAAGGGAGGGCCACTCCTTACAGCCTGCAGAGTTCAGCAGGAAGAAAAAACAGTTCCTCTTTTCACCCGGCAAAAGGAAGTTGCCCTCCTCTGCAGCCAATGAGAAGCCGCCAGCACATTGAACACTCATTTTCCTCCAATGAACTTTTGTTCACAGCAACTCCTCCAACTTCCTCCTTTCCTCTGTGAAAAAACACCCTCCTGCTTTGCTCTCTGGACTTGCTTATGGTTCACCATAGTTGGCTTGTCCCAAATTGCAATTCCTGTGCTATTCCTAAATAAACTCATTTTTGCTTAAATAAAGTTGTTCTTTGCTCTATTTAAGGTTGACATCAACAAAACCATAGAGTCATATATGATAACCCAGTACCTTCAAATTGAGTACCTGTAGCCACACTCTAAAATGGGTTGTTTTGAGAAAATCCTTATCTCTCTCCCTTATCCAAGGTCATACACCCTTTATCAAAGGAACTACACATATATTCCAAAGTTCCCTTCAGTTCTCTCCCTCTCTCTCTCTCTCTATGTATATATATATATATCTTCCTTCCTTTCACTTCATTTTATATATAAAATTTATATATAAAATGAAGTATATACATACGTATATGTATACATATGAAGTATATGTCTATACATATCTATACATATACATATATAAAATGAAGTGAAAGGAAGTAAGGTGATATTTCCCTTGGTCATAAGTATAAAACCCAGTTACACATGTATTACATGCTAATCTTTATATACTACCCAGATAAATTTTCATCATATGTCAATACATTTCCCTTCTAAGTCCTATGTAATTTAGCCGTACAAATATAATTCAAATAATTTGAAAATGTTCTTATGCATACTAAAAAGAGAACTGATATTTTCCGGATTAAAATTTTTTTTTAAGGAGGTACAAAATAAAATTGTGAAAGTTGACCTAATTAAACTGCAACTAAAATAGAATTCTCAATGACATGGGAGGTCTTCCTTCTCCTGTATTATTTAACAGAATCATTGTTTAGTGATAATAGCAGTTAGGTATAAAGCATATTTGGACTACCATTTGGAAAAAGTTTACTGACACTAAATACCAATGTGTACAATATATCATTAGATATTTTTCATCTTATACATCTTATATTTTTCATCACATTATTTGCTGTGTCCAATGCACAGTGCATGGCTCAAATCAGCTCTTTTAAATAGTCAATTAATCAGTATTTATTAAACGTAAGACCTGTGTGTGCGGGAGAACCATATTTAAGCCACTTGGAGATTTTAGAGAATAGTGAGACTATAACACACTGATTATTATTATTTTCTTTCTATCTAAATAAAGCATATTGAAAATATGCAGCCTGGCTTAAAAAAATCATTTCTATAAAGTTAGTGTTTTGGTAAGTCAAAGGGAATGCACCTTATATAGTAGGAATATTAAGGACTACATTAGGAAGAAAATATGATTACATTGGACGACTCAAGTTCAAAATTTTAGATGAGCTGTTCTTTGAGATACTAAAAAGAAATCAAATAATTTCCATATAACATTAGAATGTATGTGAGAGAGTATTGATGTTCGGGTTTTTAAAAAAAAACAAACTTGGAACCGTACATTCCAAAATGTAAAGAATGCTTGTCCTTATACCTAATAAGCAATTTTTAAAATAGAGCTGTAATCCTGTAATAAATGGCCATTTGTCTGCCATAAAGCTTAAAGTTTAAAGGCTGAAGGTTAATACCTTTGAGTTTAGTAGAATAACAAAGTAGAAACACTCAAGATATTTCCAATCTACCAAACTGTGAGTTGATACTAAATTGCCTGCAAAAGCTGGACTATAAAAACAATTTTTGCGAGTATTACGTCCAATTATTAAATCATCAGTATTCTGCAGCAATACTTTCCAATGGTAGGAGAAAAATTTTAAAATGAATCAAGTACATAAAAGATCCTGTTTTTTATTCTAATGATTGTGCATAGGTACTAGGACATCACAACATTTGGAAACTAATAAATATATAGACATAAATTCAGTAGACAGATTTTAAAGTCCAAAACATGTTTTTATTAACTGATCTTAAAAAAAGAAAAAAAGCAATGGTTATTTCTGAACAACTGTACGTTTTTCTTAACCAGGACCTAATTATATGCATGCCTTTAGGATCTCTTCAATAATTACATGGCTAATAAACTATTGTTTATCCTCATGCATATATAAAGAAGATACCAAGTTGTTCCTATGAGAACATTTCAGGGTATTATTGAATGCATTTTTTGTTGTTTTTTTCTTTTTTTTTTTTTTTTTTTGCAGTTTACACTTACAAAGTACTTTAATAATCTCACATTGTTGGGAACCCCGGTGTAATTTTAAGGTAAGTCTCTTGCTTTTTCATTTTACACAGTGCCATTTAAGTAGGAATTAAAAAAAAGTCATTATTTCTCACATATACACTTATGAATGCATATGATAAGATGTATGTATGTGTGTGTATATATAATTTAATAATTTTATATTATTCTTATTAGAATTTTATTTTATGATCACTGCTTTGTCAAAGATATGTAGAATGAAAAAATGAGAAGCTGACAACACTGATAGCTAATATTTATTACATTTCATAAAGTATATAATACATTTACATGCCTTATACTCATATGATACCTCATATCAACTCTTTAAGGTGGGTATATATTTTTTTCCCATTTTACAGGTAAGGATACTGAGGCACAAAGAGAGAAAGTTTCCCAAGAAGGTAATCAAGTGAAAGAGCCAAGATTTGAATCATGAAAATGCATCTCTAGAGTCTGGTTTTTTAAACACTGGGTTAACTCCCTACAGAGTTAATTTGGTGACTAATTATCATCTTCACCTGTGAAAGTCACTGAGCCTCCGGTTCCTTCTAAGAAAATTTAGGCAGGAGTGTTGCAACTTTAAGTGCACAACACAAACATTCTGTCAAGATGTATAGTAGTTGTATGGTCAGGCCACTCAAGACGGCTGTTCTCTTGCTCTCTGTACATCCCCTGCTCGATGAGTCCCTGCTTCTTCTACACCCTGCTCACATGAACATACTTGCCCTCTGCCACTTAGGCCAGAACGGCTCCACCTGCTAGTTTATTAAAGGGAAAAGTATGCACTCCTGATGGTCATTAACCTGAGGCACTGCGAGCAACGTGCCCCAGGGCTTGTTTCCCTGGTAGCTGATGAGCCGAGCTGATATCAGTTCCCCTCTAAACCTTAGCCTCATTCTCCCCGAGTAGTGAAGACTGCTGCTGTGTCCTGCTCCCTGTCTGCTGCACACAGCGGGGTGTCTCTCCAGGACCTTGCTTAAGAGGTAAGCTCCCACATCTACTAAACCACTGATGTCTGCCATTGTCCGTGGGCTCTTTCTTTTTGTTTGTTTGTTTTTTGTTTTTTTGCGGTACGCGGGCTTCTCAGTGTTGTGGCCTCTCCCGTTGCGGAGCACGGGCTCCGGACGCGCAGGCTCAGCGGCCATGGCTCACGGGCCCAGCCGCTCCGCGGCATGTGGGATCTTCCCGGACCGGGGCACAAACCCGTGTCCCCTGCATCGGCAGGTGGACTCTCAAACAGTGCGCCACCAGGGAAGCCCCGTGGGCTCTTTCTTCAGTCTTGAGGCTGGACAACTACAAGGCTTTCAGCCCCGTGGGGTGTAGCGCAACAACTGTTGAGCCAGCCAGGAGGCCGAGGAAACTCCTGTGAGTGCTGAGATGTGGGGAAGTGAGAACGGGAACGGAAAGCTCTGGGTGTAATCGCCGTACACTAACATGTGGGACCGACCCAGTGGCAGCTACCGTGATAGATGACTTTCTCTTGCTGTTACACTAATGATATCCTGTTCATTCACCTCAGAGTCTCTTTCCCAGTTTAAAAGTAGCAGCCCTGTAATCATGGCTCATCTGATTGCATGGGGGTGACTGGTGAATACAAAATGCAAGGACCTGGATTATCTACAAAATACAAATATACCCCCAGACCCATCACCCCGAAACGATTACAGACACAGGCTTTAGGGATATTAACTCAGGGGCAGGCCTGCGAATTGGACGTGGCCAGTTACCGGGAAGGGTTTGATGGGGGACTGTGGCAACAGCAAAATGATGAAAGAGTACCCTGGGGCTGCTGGTCTCAGCTATGGAAGGGGGCAGAGCAGCCATAAGGGAACACAGCTATGCAGTCTACAGTGCTTTACAACAGTGCCTTACAGAAGAAAGGCACCGTTATATTAACTGTCTGTTGTTACACTGCCACTCCAGTATTTGTCACCTGCTGTGGGGACTGAGGGTGGACAGGCAGTTCGGTCCTAGAGGCCAGGGCCGAAAACCTCAGGCAGGGGTGGTGTTATCTCAATGCTATTACTGCTCGTAATTTGCTTAATGGTCATGACCTTCCCTGTACTGTGCCTTTAAACAGCTCACATTTCCTCTCTAGTCTGAGCAGAAGGAATCTGTTCATGGACTGGGTGACAGCAGTAGCCTCACTGTGAAATGAATTTTTCTGCTGGGTCTACAGCCAGTTGCCTTTGTTGTCCTCTTTTGGACTTCCATGAAAAACTGACTTAATAAGCACCTGGCTCCAGAGTTTGCCCACCTCTTGGAGTCTTGATACTTTTTAGCTGCTGTTTGTATTGCATTTGTGGTATTTGGTTGCAGTCCAGCCCTACATACCTGAGCCCAGAGATATGGAGGAAGAGGGGCAGCCCAAGAGATAAGGGTCGTGCAGGGTCTGTTGGGGTGGAGTGTTTGGTCAGGTCACTCAACATGGCTGTTGTCTTGCTCTCTGTACATCCCGACCAGCCCCTGCTTCCCCTACACCCTGCTCACAGGAATGTGCTTGCCCTCTGCCCCTTAGGCCAGAATGGCTCCACCTGCTAGTTTATTAAAGGGAAATATCTGCCCTTGTGATACTCATTAACCTGAGGGGCTGCAAGCAACGTGCCCCAGGGCTTGTTTCCTTGGTAGCTGATGAGCCAAGCTGATATCAGTTCCCCTCTAAACCTTAGCCTCCTTCTCCCCGGGTAGTGAAGACTGCTGCGTCCTGTTATCTGTCCGCCCCACACAGTGGGGTATCTCTCTAGGACCTTACTTCAGAGGTGATTTCCCCCATCTACTAAACCACTGATGTCTGCCATTGTCCGTAAGCTCTTTCTTCAGTCTTGAGGCTGGGCAACTACAAGGCTTGCAGGCCTGTGGGGTGCAGCCCCACAGGAGTGGTCTTAGTAGTAGGAATGGTGGTGCTAATAAGTTTCCATTTACTTATCACCCACTGTGTACCAGAAACACTGGACACTGCAGGTGTACCTTGTTTTATTGCACTTTGCTTTATCGTGCTTCACGGATAGTGCATTTTTACAAATTGAAGACTTGTGTCTACCCTGCATGGTCAGATTGTTAGCATTTTTAGCAATAAAGCATGTTTTTTTTTTTTTTGCGGTACGCGGGCCTCTCACTGTTGTGGCCTCTTCCGTTGCGGAGCACAGGCTCCGGACGCGCAGGCTCAGCAGCCATGGCTCACGGGCCCAGCCGCTCGGCGGCATGTGGGATCTTCCCGGACCGGGGCACGAACCCGTGTCCCCTGCATCGGCAGGTGGACTCTCAACCACTGCGCCACCAGGGAAGCCCAAGCATGTTTTAATTAAGGTACATATGTTGTTTTTTAGACAAAATGCTATTGCACACTTTAGTAGACTACAGTATAATAGAAACATTTATATACCCTGTGAAACCAAAAATTGTGTGACTCACTTTATTGCAAAACCAATTTATTGCAATGGTCTAGAACCGAATATCTCTGAGGTATGTCTGTAGTTCCTCTAATCCTCATAATAATCCTCTAAGGCAAATATCATATCTGATTGGTTAATTGGTAAAATTAAGTATCAGAAAGATGAAGTAACTTTCCCAAGATCATTCAACCAGGAAATAGAATACCTGGGATTAATATCCTATTGTATCTGACTGAATTTTCTTTTTTCTTCTAGTTCAAACAATTAAGATCTAGTTCCTTAGCAAGTTTAATGTTGATAAAACCACTTTGTTTATAATCACTGAACTGTGTATTAGGTCTGTGGGACTTATTTATCTGCAAGCTGTAAGCATGTATCCTGTAACAGCATCTTCCACATTCTCCACCCCACCTCCCTGCCCTCAGCTCCTGGTAACCACCATTCCACTGTTTTATAAGCTGAGATGTTTTTTTTTTAGCTTCCACGTGTGAGGTATCATACAGTATTTGTCTTTCTCTCTCTGACTTATATCACTCAGCATAATGTCCTTAAGGTCCACCCATGTTGCTGCAAATGGCAGAATGTCCTTTTTTCTCATGGCTGAATAGTGTTCGGTTGTGTATATAGCATGTTTTTATCCACTCACCCGTTGATAGACACTTAGGTTGTCTCCACATCTAACTATTGTGAATAATGCTGCAATCAACATGGGAGTGCCTGTATTGAAATTGGTTTTAATTTCCTTTGGGTACATATATTCAGAAATAAGATTGCTGGGAAATACAGTAGTCCTGTTTTAATTTGGGGGGGAACCTCCATACTGTTCTCCATAGTGGCTAAACCACTGTAAATTCCCACCAACAGTGTACAAAGATTTCCTTTACTCACATCCTTGCCAACACTTGTTTTTTTGATAACAATTATTAAATGTCTAAGATGATATCTTATTGTGGCTTTTATTTGCATTTCCCTGGTTAGTGATGTTGAGCACCTTTTCACATACCTGCTGGCCATTTAGATGTCTTCTTTAGAAAATTGTCTCTTCAGTTCCTTTGCCCATTATTTTTCTAGTCAGTTTTTTTTTAAATGAAGTTGTATGCATTCTTCATAAATTTTGTACATTAACACCTTATCTGACACATTATTTGCAACTATCTTCTCCCATTCGGTTGGTTGCCTTTTCTGTGGATTGCCTTTTCATTTCGTTGATTATTTCTTGTGCTCTGCAGAGGCTTTTAAGTTAGTAGTCCTGCTTGTATTTTTCTCTTTTTTGTGCCATTGGTGTCATTTCCAAAAAAATCATTGCTAAGGCCAATATTGAGCTTCTCCCCTATGTTTTCTTCTATGAGTTTTATAGTTTCAGGACTTATGTTTAAGTCTTTGATCATTTCAGGTTAATTTTTGCAAATAGCAGAAGATAGGGGTCAAATTTCATCTTTCTGCCTGTGGTTATCTAGTTCTTCTAACACCATTAGTTGAAGAGACTATCCTTTCCCATTGGATGTTCTTGGCTATGTTACCAAATGTTAGTTGACTGTATATGCAAGGGTTTAATTCTGGGCTCTCTATTAAGTTCCATTGATCTATGTGTCTTTTTATGTCAGTACCATAACTACTATAGTTTTGCAGTGTAGTTTGAAATCACAAACAGAGATTTGATGCCTCTGGTTTGTTCTTAGGATTCCTTTAGCTATTTGGAGTCTGCTGTGGTTTCACACATTTCATGATTTTTTTTCCTATATCTGTGAAAAATGCTAAGAAATTTTGATACGGATTGCATTGTATCTACACATTTGATATGGATAGCTTAAATAGCATTGACATTTTAACAATATTAACTTTTCTCAGCCATAAATATGGGAAGTCCTTCCATTTATTTGTCTTTTTAAAATTTTCTTTCAACGAAGTCTTGTAAGTTTTCATAGCACAGATTTTTCACTTCTTTCGTTAAACTCATTCCTAGGTGTTTCATTGGTTTTGATGCCATTGTGACATAGTTTTCTTTCTTTAACTTTAATTTTTTTAAAAATTTATTTTTGGCTGTGTTGGGTCTTCGTTGCTGCATGCGGGCTTTCTCTAGTTGGGGCGAGCGCAGTCTACTCTTCGTTGTGGTGTGCAGGCTTCTCATGGTGGCTTCTCTTGATGTGGAGCATGGGCTCTAGGCATGTGGGCTTCAGTAGTTGTGGCCCACGGGCTCTAGAGCACAGGCTCAGTAATTGTGGCACACGAGCTTAGTTGATCTGCAGCATGTGGGATCTTCCCAGACCAGGTATTGAACCTGTGTCCCCTGCGTTGGCAGGCAGATTCTTATCCACTGCACCACCAGGGAAGCCCAGTTTTCTTTCTTTCTTTTTTTTTTTTTTTTTTTTTTGTTCTCCGGCCTCTCACTGTTTTGGTCTCTCCCGTTGCGGAGCACAGGCTCAGCAGCCATGACTCACGGGCCCAGCCGCTCCGTGGCATGTGGGATCTTCCCGGACTGGGGCACGAACCTGTGTCCCCTGCATCGGCAGGCGGACCCTCAACTACTGCGCCACCAGGGAAGCCCCCAGTTTTCTTTCTTTTTCAGATATTTCATTGTACATAAAATGCAACTGATTACTGCATTTTATATCCTGCAACTTTACTGAATTCATTGAGATCTAAAAGTTTTTTAGTTGAGTCTTTGGGATTTTTAATAAGATCATGTAATCTGCAAAGAACAGTTTTACTACATCCTTTCTTAGATGACTTTTTTCTTGACTGATGGCTCTAGCTAGAACTTCCAGTACTATGTTGAATAAAAGTGATGAGAGTGGGCACATTTATTCCTGATTTTAGAGAAAGTTTCCAATTTTTCTCTGAGCATGTTAGCTGTGGGTTTGTCATATATAGATTTTATGATGTTGAGATATGTTCCTCCTATATCCAAGCTATAGAGGTTTTTTTAATCATGAAACAATGTTGTATTTTGTCAAACACTTTTTCTGTATCTATTGATCACTCATTCTTTTAATGTGGTATATCATTATACCACATATATCATATATTCTTCATATGTTGGAACATCCTTTTATCCCAGAGATAAATTCCAATTGGTCACAGTGTATAATCCTCTCAATTAGTTCTTGAATTTGATTTGCCAGTATTTTGAGAATTTTTTTTAACATCTTTATTGGAGTATAATTGCTTTACAATGTTGTGTTAGTTTCTGCTGTATAACAAAGTGAATCAGCTATATGTATACATATATCCCCATATCCCTTCCTTCTTGCATCTCCCTCCCACCCTCCCTATCCCACCCCTCCAGGTGGTCACAAAGCACAGAGCTGATCTCCCTGTGCTATGTGGTTGCTTCCCACTAGCTATCTGTTTTACATTTGGTAGTGTATATATGTCAATGTCACTCTCGCACTTCGTCCCAGCTTACCCTTCCCCCTCCCTGTGTCCTCAAGTCCATTCTCTATGTCTGCGTCTTTATTTCTGTCCTGCCCCTAGGTTCTTCAGAACCCTTTTTTAAAAAAATTTTTTTTTAGATTCCATATTTATGTGTTAGCATATGGTATTTGTTTTTCAATATTTTGAGAATTTTTGCATCTATGTTCGTCAGGGATATTGGTCCATAATTTTCTTGTGTTCTTATCTGGCTTTGGTATTAGTGCAATCCTGGTGTCATTGAGTTTGGAAGTATTCATTCCTCAGTATTCTGGAAGAGTTTGAGAAGGATTGGTGTTAAATCTTAAAAGTTTGGTTAGAATTCTCCAGTGAAGCCATCTGGTCCTGTAGTTTTCTGTTTTAAAAGGTTTTCATTATTGGTTAGTTCAGACTTTCTATTTCTTCCTGATTCAGTCCTGGTAGATTACATGGTTCTAGGGAACTATTGATTTCCTCTAGTTACCCAATTTGTTGGCATGTAATTGTTCATAGTAGTCTCTTATGAACCTTTTTATTCTGTATTGTCAGTTGTAATGTCTTTTTCATTTCTGATATTCAAATCTTTTTCTTAGTGTCAATTTTATTTTTTAAAAAAAGCTTTTTTTTTTCTGGTCTTTATATCAGTAATTTCTACTCTGAGCTTCTTTCCTTCCTTCTGCTAACTTTGAGTTTAATTTGTTCTTTTTCTAGTTCCTTGGCATAAGATTAGGTTGGTTATCTTTCTAACTTAATATATTTATCACTGTTAACTTCCCTCTCTGTACTGCTTTTGCAGTGGCTCCCAGATTTTGGTATTCATGTTTCCACTTTATTTTCTTCTAGATACTTTTATTTCTTTTGATTTCTTCTTTGACCCACTGGTTGTTCAGGAGTGTGTTTTGCGTCTACATGTAGATTTTCTAGCTTTCTTTATGTTTTCTGGTTTCATGCCATTGTGGTTGAAATAGATAATTGGTAGGATATCAGTCCTTTTAAATTTGAGACCTATTTTGTGTCCTGCTACGTGATCTATGCTTGAATATTCCATGTTCGCTCAAATGTCTATTCTGCTGCTGTTGGAAGGAGTATTCTAAAGATGTTTATTGGGTCCATCTTGTCTAATGTATGGTTCAAGTCCATCGTTCCTTTTTTTTTTTCTGTCTGGGTAATCTATCCATTATTGAAAGGATAGACCCCTATTGCATTCTTGCCTAGTTCTCTCATATCTGTTAGTATTTGCTTCATATATTTAGGTGTTCCAATGTTGGGTGCATATGTATTTACGATTGTTAAATCGTGAAGAATTGATCCCATATCATTATAATGACCTTCCTTATCCCTTGTTGCTGCTTTTGGCATAGTCTGTTTTGTCTGATAAGCACAGCTACCCTTGCTTGCTTTGGTTTTCACTTGTATGGAATATCTTTTTCCATCCCCTCCACTTACAGTCTTTGTGCATACTTAAATCTAAAATGGGTCTCTTATAGGCAGCATATGGTTGGATCTTGTTTTTTATCCATCCAGGTACTCTGTGCCTTTTGATTGAATTCAATTGCTTTCTGGTTCTGTATTTCCATCCTTTTATTCCTGTTTTTCCCTACCTTTGGAGATTAGTTATTTCCTGTGGTGGTATGCTGTTTCCCTTTGTCTTTTGTGGATTTACTCTAGGTTTTTCTTTTCGTTTGTGTGGTTACCATGGGGTTTCTATAAGACATCTTAGAGATAAAGCAGTCTGTTTTAGGAGATAGCAACTTATAATTTCTTTCCCTATAAAGGCTTCAGCCTTTTACTCCTTCCTTTTTATATTACTGATGTCACAATTTACCTCTTTGTTTACTAACAATTTATAGCAGCTATAGCAACCTACTCTTTTCTTTTAACCTTTTACCTTTAACCTTTATGCTTCTTCAGTGGTTAATGCACTATCTTAATTTAGAGTTAAATTTTTCTAAGTCTGACAGCATACCTTTATCAATGTTTTGTTTTCATGTTGCTGATTAGCATCTTTTCAACTTAAACTCTGGCATTTCTTGCAAGGAAGGTCTAATGTTGACCTCCTTCAACTTTTGTTTGTCTGTAAAGACTTTATTTGTCCTTCATATCTGAAGGATAGCTCTGCTTAGTAAAATATTCTTGACTGGCAATTTTTCTTTTGACACATTGAGTATGTCATTCCACTCTCTCCTAGCCTGTAGGGTTTGTGCTGAGAAATCCACTGATAGACTAAAAGGGTTACTTTGTAGGTTATATCTTTCCCCCCACCCCATTGTTTTTTGTTTTGTTTTGTTTTTACCATTTCATTATAATGTGTCTTGGAGGTCTTTTAGCATTGAGATAATAGGGTGTTCTATTAGTTTCATGGACTTCTATGTCCAAGTCTTTCTGTAGGTTTGGGAAGTTCTCAGCTATCTCTTTAAATAAATTGCCCCATCCTTTATGCTTTTAAAGTATCGGTTCTGATACTTGTTTGTTCTGCTGGATTTCAATAGCTCTCCTGGGCTTTGTTGACTCTTTTAAAGTCTTAATTCCCTTTTATCTTCTGTGTTCAGAATTCCTATCCTCCAGGTCATTTATCCTTTCTTCCGTCTGGTCTGCCCTGATACTGATATCTTATTGCATTCTTCACCATATTCATTGAATTTGTCAGTGCCAGAATTTGTTTGGTTCTTTTTTTAACTTTTTAGTTTCTGTGGTAAAGAAGTCAATTTGTTCAATATAGCTTTGTTGCTTATTTTATACATAGTAGTTTGTGTCTCTTAATCCCATATCCCTACCTTGCCCCTCTCCACTTCCCTCTCCCCATTGGTAACCACTAGTTTTTTCTCTGTCTGTGAGTCTGTTTCTGTTATATACATCCATTTGTTTTTTAGATTCCACATATAAGTGACAACATAGAGTATCTGTTTTTCTGTCAGGCTTCTTTCACTAAACACAATACTCTGTCCATCCACATTGTTGCAAATGGCAGACTTTCATTCTTTATGGCTG